ACTGCTACTGCTACTGCATGCTACTACTGCTGCCGCTCTCCCTGCTTCTGCCGCTCTGGTTCGCCTTGCTTTTGGATGGTTATTCTTGTGGCTAGTGTATTACACCTTATCACGACCTCAACGTCTAACCCTAAACCCCTAAACCCTAACCCCTAAACCCTAAACCCTAAACCCTAAACCCCTAAACCCTCAGCGCCTATTTAGACTAGCAGCAACGCGTTGGGACTCCAGGAGCTCAAGGCTTTTCTGCAAGTGCGCGGAGTGCGCATCCCTGCTTGGGTCACAGCGGCTGGGCGGAGGATTTTGGGGTTTTTTTGGGGTTGGAGGCAAGGGTTAGGCATTTAGGGTCTAAGTCTCAGGGGGAAGTGTTCGAGTTTGGGGTTTGGGGCCAGTCGGTTTAGCCTTCAAGCCCTTAAACAGAAGCCCTGACCCTGAGGCCGAAACCATGAACTGTAAGCTCTGCTGTGGATCTGGTCAGCAGTGCTGCAGTGTCCTCAACAAGACCAACTGATACGATTCCTTCATAGTCCTTGTTGATTTGTGGCATTGTATTCTCCAAAGCCCTATTCTAATGACAAGGGCCCCTAGAATACAGCAACTCCGCGGGGGTCAGAGACCCAATGCCCGAGTGCGGTTGCTGTGGTCATAATGGCCATGACCGTCGCCATCACCAACGCCAGCACCAGCATCCGCACCCGCACCGGCAGCAGCAGCAGCAGCGGCGGCGGCGGCGGCGGCGGTAGCGGCAGCGCAGCGGCAGCGGCAGCGGCAGCAGCACTAGCACCGTCACCGCCACCAGCATCATCATGATGGCATCAGTATCAGTCAGTCTCTCCTTAAGCTTCTCGTCCGTCTTGGTTGGTCGTGCTCTTTTGACGATTTCCGGAAAGACTTAAGAAGCCGAGGAGAAGAGCGATCTTCTGTCCCTGGTGAAGGACTCACTGCTCGCCTTAAACCAACGCCACTCTTCTCCGGTCCTTATATTAGATTGCGGAAGGTTGTTCTTGCGTTTGACCTTGTTCTCGTTGTTTTTGTTGTCTTTGTGTCTGTTCTGCCCGGTAGTGGTGCGTGGCAGTGGCGCTCTAGCTGTGTTCTCTTGTTGCCACTCTATCGCTCCCGAGGTTTAGTCTTCGCTGTCACGCTTTACCGTCTGTTTGCCTGCGAGATGCTGTTTAGAAACGCATGTGGAGTTTTTCCGGTCTCGCATTGTTAACACGGCATGCAGGAACTGCGCCGTAGCTATACCTACAGCATCCGTTTAAATATCGGCCTTCGTGGAGGCCCGAACTTCCATACAGCTCGGACATCACTGAAATCCGGTGATCTACCTGTAGAATTTGAGCCGACTTATAGCCCCCACAGAGGTATCAATGCTCCGATACCAAACCCATATAAACCTATGAGCCCTGCCAAGCCCTTCCAAAACCCCTCTTTGGGGCCGAAGCCATCAACTTGTGATCCCGATACCTTGGACAGTTGGGAACTGTTTCGGGTTTAGGAGAATCTGGAGGAAGAGACGGCCGGATCCACAGGAACCAGAAAGCGCACGGAGTATCGTGCGCTTCGTTTCTGTTCTCCAACTCTTGAGGTGGGGGGTCGCAATGCTGTAGAAACCAGTCTTTTGGGCATGGTCGCAAAATGAAGGGCCGTTACCCTCCGACGAAAAGAAAGACATGAAGAAAAAGCATGTACCGAAGGACAGAAACAAAGAGATGACATACTAAGGCAAGCTGATGGACAGAGATTTACAAAGCAGTTCAACTCAGGAGAAACAAGAGACACGAGAAGGACCCGAATAAGGAGGGAAACAACAAAGGCAAAATATAAAACAAGAGAAACGATGAGAATAGTAATAATGACACGTACTTAGCAGAACTCTGTTGTTTGCGGTGTTTTTGCCTCTCCGTACAATATTCGTTTAGAATCAACACGACTACACAACAGAAATAATTATTGCACTCAAGCGTCCCAAATCAAAAAAAACTGTGCAACTCCAACCCAAGGACTTTATACCAGAGTGGATCACAATCTAACATATGTACCATCCACTGAGCCTCGCACGACCGCATGCGCGGCTGGCACGTCCAATACTCAAGGTTTCTTGCATTTCCAAACCTTACATGCAACTCATAAAAAAACACACGTCAGCCGGGATGCTTTGTTCGAGGGTTAGCAGTTAGCACCATCTTGCAAGACATCATCTAGAAGTCTTCGAAGCCTGATTATTTCGTAATATTATCCCTTTCTGGTCCCTGTTCTATTTTTAACATACTCTTTCCCAAACTATTGTTAACATACTATACCCCAAACTATTTTTAACATACTATATCGCACCACCCAATCCCAGCTTTTTGTTAAGGCCCCTGTAACCCCTCCAGAACCCTTACAGGAACCCCAAAACCCTAAACCCCAAACCCAAAACCCTCGTCTAGTTTTCAGGCCCCCTGTTTTTCTGCGCAGCGCGCCGGAGGACTCCGCACATCTTCCCATTCGACCTCCAGAGGCGCAGAAGGAGAAGGAGGAGCACAGCTTTAGAGTTTGGGGGGTGTTAGGGTGTAGGGGTTTAGGGTGCAGGGGTTTTTAGTTTAGGGCTTAGGGTGTGGGGTTTTTGGTTTAGGGTTTACGGTGTTTAAGACTCGTCCCTGACCCCAAGCCCCCTAAGCCCGATGCCCTAAACCGCTTGATGCTGGGGTTGACCAAAATATCATAGTCGAAGATACCCAGGCCTTGCTCAACTGAGTGTATCGAGGCCCCTACACCCCCCCCTGCAACTTTTTGCACTTGTCCGTCGGGATTCTGGCTCTGTGAGGTTGGAGGGTTTCGGGTCTACGTTCCGATGTTCTTGGAGGTTCATGGGTAGTTATAAATGGGGTTATAAGTAGGGTTCATGTCTAGGGTAGATCTCAGTGGGGCGATAAGTCCCCTAACTTGGGTATGTAAGTTATAGTTACCCTCCTTACAACCGCACCTGTAACTGCCCATGAACCTTCAAGTAAGGCTTTATAGGGGGCCGCAAAAACGGCCCTTAAACAGGGGTTCGGCCTTCGGGTCGATTGTCATCACTGTTTCCCGTTACGCTTTGCTGTCCGTCTCTCTCTCTGTCTCTCTCTCTCTCTTTCTCTCTCTCTCTCTCACTCTCTGACTCTTTGGTTTGGGGGTCCAGTTTTGGAGCAGTCTGTCTGTAGTTCTGCTGCGAAGCCCAAAGCTTGCATGGAATCGTTCATGTTAGCGCGGCCCTCTCATCGAGCTTTTCTCTCATGTCTGTCAAAAAGCCAGGTGACTGTAGCCGCTGTAGCCTGCCAGTTCTTAAGCTCTGCGCCCCCAGCCCACTTTTTCTGCCTGGCACTTCCTCGGTAGCTTTAGAGGCCTGCAGACACCACAAGCACCCTCAGCCGACAACCTTTGAACCTCGTGGCCCCCTGCCCATCAGGAGGCCAAGAAGAAGGAAGAAGAGACGACTGCGCAGCAGAAGGCCGCGGAGGATCGACCTTAGACCAAAGCCACGAAGACCCAAACCTAAACCCTAAGATCCGCAAGCGGGAGTGATAAGGCCCGGCCCATGAGCCCCTCCGCTCGAAGCTCTGCAGCCATTGCCTGCTAGAATAGAGGAGGAGAAGCAGCCGGAGCAAACTCCAGACTCGACGAACAAGGAGCCCGGCTTTTTTTTTTCTGGTTCCTTTGCTCTGTGACCATTCGGGCAGCAATTCTGCTTGTGATTCTTCTTGTCATGGACCGTGGTCGTCGTCGTCGCCCTTATCGTCGCGGTCATCTGAGCTGTGTCGACATGTGCTCCTTGTGTCACTGTCGTTATCGGTGTGGTTTTCGGCACCAGCTGAAGCCCCCCTTCCTGGACACCTGCAACTTCGTGGCAAATCAAATCTTGCCGGCTCTAACTGTTGTTCACGCTAGTCAAGCAGCTCCCTGGAGCATCTGTTACCCAGAAGGCCCAACAGTCAGCCCACACCTTCATTCGGGTAGGGTCGTTGAGCTGAAGCGCTGGGAAGTTGCAGGATTTAGTGTGCAGGGCTCCTTGCCGGTGCTGTCTCGCACTAGTGGCTATGGCCTTGGAGAAAAAGTTTGTGTGGAAGCAGCTGGCGCCAATGCTGGATCCATTTTCAGTTGCAGTGGCAAGTATGTTGAATGTTACGGTGCGGAGATTTTGCGTTTCTCCGAATGGCCTCCTCATTGTGCCTCATGTCATCGTCAACTGTGGGGAGGAAGCGGCCGATCAAATGGTCAAGTGCTTGCCTGCCATTGATAAGACAGAGGTGACTCTGGTTTCATTTTTTGATTACAAGACTAGCCATAGTCTACGCGACCTGGACCTCTTCGCTCTGTGCATGGGCTGGCTTCTGGGTTCCTTTATCAAGCTTCGTGTGGCGAACATCGGCACTTTTCGTAGGTACGGTAATAGGACTTGCCTTTGGAGGACTGTTTTGCTAAACCTTCAGCGCCACTGCCGTTGTCTCGAGAGTCTCGACTGGTACTGCTACACGTGGCCAGAGCTAGTCGTGAAGGCTTTGCCCACTTTCAGCAACCTTCTTCGCTTGGGCTTGTCGGTGAACAGCACATCCGATTGTTCGGCATCACTGCTCTTCGAACGACTTGCTGACTGTTCCGGAACCCTGCAGCGTTTGGCCTCGGTAAGTTTCGAGGTGGCATGTGACGAAGTGGATTGCAAGTCTTCCTTGCAGCGGTGCATGGACGAGTTCTCTCTTACGCATGTGCGCATTCTTGAGGATGACCTGTTTGACGACACATTGCCTCAAGTCCTGTCTCAGATCAGATGGCCATCCAGCTGCTGCATGATTGCACTGTCAGCGAACTTCTCGGGCGAGCAGCTCTGCGCATTGGCCGACGAAGTTCGTGCGAGTGGGGCATCTGGGCTATACATCCAGAGCTTAGGTGAACGAGAGTTGACGGCTGCGCAGGTGCACCAGTTTCTGTCCACTCTGGAAAGATCCTCTCTGAGCACCTTCGGTTGGGACCAAGACTTGCCAGCAGCTGTAGTCAGCTCTGCCAAGCTTGGCCTTTGCAGTTTGGTTGGCAACCTGCCGTCCTTGCGTTCCCTTCAGCTGGGGGTTTATGGCAAGCAGGGCTTTGCATCTGAAGACTTGACGAAGGCAGCCTTCAAGGCGGATGTTTGCTTACATCGCTCCAGGGGGCTCTTCATGCCAGATTGCTCAGGCTGCTGTGGGTCAAAAGGCGCTTCTCCGGCTGACGAAGCTGACGACACTACCAATAGTTTCGGGGCCCTTGCACCCCTGCCTTTGGAATATGAGAACACTTATAATATACTAACCAATATAGAACCGTGAATGGGAACCCCGTTCTAAGATTTGAGGCCCCTTGCTTACCAAATCGACAGGCCCTTCGTCTCTGGGAGCATTGGCTCCCCAGAGACTCCAAAATCCCCTAATTAAGGAATATACACCTTAGCTTATAGGGAACGCTTTTTCTGATCGTATTCCTTGCTTAAAGGGTTCTCCCTAGACCCTAAAGCCCCCCAAAGCCCCCCCCAAAACCCCCAGATGTTCCTTAGTAGATTAACTACTGTGGGCCCCAGCCTTCTCTATCTCGCGAACCCAGCCAGCCTCGGCTTGAGGAACAGGATTAATTATAAAGTTGCACTATGTCATTTTGATCAGTAAAAAGTGAATAAAGCATGTACGTAAATAAGCAAACAAATCTGAAGAGATGTAAGTACATATATATATATACACACATACATACACATGTTATAGTATAGTAATACGGTGCTCTCTATTTTCATAGCTATAATGCATGATGTATATTTTTGTTATGCTTGTGCTGGGAGGCTTGCAGGCTTATGTTCCATCATCTTCAGGCTCGGAACAATCAAACCCTAAACATTAAACCCTAAACCCTATCTAAACCCTAAACCCCCAAACCCTAGTTAAACCCTGAACCCTAAACATGGCACTCGATGCTCAAACGTCGTTGTAGCCCCTAAGCCAAGGCCATAGAGCAAAGTCCCGGTGGCCTTACCCTGAAACTTAAACACCACATCCCTGAGCATCTAGACGCTGCAAAACCTAAACAAAACCAGACTCCCGAACCGTAAACACCTCACCCTGAACCCTAAAGTCCATGACCACACTAGTGACTGCGCTATATTTTATGTGTAGCACACTTGTGTGCGAAATG